ATTGCGAAAATCATCATTTTTATTTTTTAATAAAAAATAAATAGATAATTATTTTTTAATTTTTAATAATTTATTTGGAACTTGTTTGGACATTTTTTAAAAAATTGGGTATGATTGCAATTATTTCTTTATTTTTCTTTTTTATTTTATTTAAATATGAATGTATATTTGTTATTTCACATATTTTTATTGAGAAATTGAATGAAAATAGATGAAAATGATGATTTGCGTAATGAAATGTGTAAATATAGGTGAAATGTAGAAAAAAGCAAGATTGAAATATTTTGCAAGATGAATTTCAAATGTAGGGACGTTCTATGTCACTAACCTCATTTTCAAAGAAAAAAATGAACACAATTTAGGTCCCGCAGACATCCCACGGCCTGTCATTATGGATTTGCTGACTTTTAGCAAGACCACGTTGTACTTTCACGGGGCCTGATTTGTCTTTCGAATTATGGCTGTACATCACTATGTCACATACATACTCTATTCGTACCACGTTACATGATTTATTAATATACAATTATAAAGTATTTAACATTCTTTTAAGAAATAGTATTATATAATATAAACTTTAACAAAAAGTTTGGTTGATATTCACTCTGAAATAAAAATAATAATTATTCGTACGGCAAAATTATATGTTTGAATATCTTTACTATTTGAACATATAAAATGTTAGTCTTGCTCAGTTACTACATTAAATAAACAAAAAAAAAAAATCCCATCGTTACATCTTTAGGTGAAACTCTAGCATATTTTGGGATAAAAATGAAAATGAGTCCAAATCTCACAAAAAATAATCATTTAGTATCGATGTTGTAAAAAAAAAAAATTGAGCATTACCTAAAATGGTAATGCCAAAATTCAAATAGTCTAACCGATAGTAAAATGATTGAAGTAAATAATAAATACATTTTGGAGTGAATCAACCATTTTAAAGTTAAATCGATTGATTTTGGGTGTGAATCAAACGAGGCAGGGTTTGGACTTTTACCGGTTCCTAAATTTTTTATGGGGTCTAAATTTTTTATTTTTTTACACATAATCAGATCGTTTGTCGGTTGATTCTTGATTATCCTGGTCGAATTGGTCATTATAATCGTGTTCGTTTAACATTAATAAATATATATTTGATAAGTATTACTAAACAACATAGTAGTTTTTTTTTTTTAATAATATTATTATTCTATCCGTATCATAAAGGACTTTTACTCGTTATATTTCCACTAGAGTTTATAGATCCAATCTAAAGTTCGCAGCATTTGTGGCCTTAAAAGGAGTTAAAAGGAGACATTTTCTTGGGTCCCTTGATTGTACCTGTTGTTTTCATTCTTCACGTGAATATTCAACCTCCATTTGAAATTGAAG